TTATCAATTATATGTTCATTATGTAATTGGAATGGTCCATTTAAAGATTATGAGGTAAAATAAATATATTTTATGAAAGTTACTTTCATTACAATAGCAATACATATCACAATAATCAAATATTTTTATTCTACAATGAATTCATATTTCAGGAACACCTCAAAACTGCTCATCCAAATCCAATATGTGAATTTTGTGAAGAAAGATTTAATTCAATCATTGAACTTGACAAGCACAAACAAAAAGAATGTGCCAAAATTACTGTGCCTTGTCCACTTAAAGAGTGTGGTTGTTTGGATTCAGTAAGTTGAAATTATTTAAACAAAGAAGTTCTAAGATAAAACAAAATACAAAAACATACAATTTTTCAGTTGAATAATATTTAGATTGACATCTAATGGACTATCCTCTCGATAGTTTATCTAAAACAACGATTTTTGTCGTTAAAGTCTATATTTTATTAAGATAAAATATTAAGGATTAAACTTTGAAAGTTATATTTGTTTCAATTATCTTTTTATATTTATTCATAAAATTAATAAAAGAAAGATTATTGTATGATTTCTTTAGATCTATCGAGCTCAGTTACAAGAGCATTATTTAAGTGATATTCACCAAAAAGCAATAATTAGTACTATATGTCGCTTATTATCAAGGGTAATAAATGAACGACATGGACGAGTGTCAGGAATGGATGTTGATATTGAACTAGGTGCTTCTAGTTCAATGATTACAACCACAAATGAAAATATTAGTACATAAATGCAAGAAATCTATGAAACAATAAATATTCTTGCTAGTGGAATTCAAACATTAAATGATGATACACAACATCTTAGTAGTGAATCAATTCGATTACAAAGTTCAACTGAATCCTTAACACAAGAATTTTCATCACTCAAATTAAGTGTTCAAGAAGAAAATTCTTTTTTAGATGGTATTAAACTTAATCAAGAAATTCTTCAACAAGATGTTGCATCATTGGAAGAAAAAGTTGACGATATGCAATATGTATCATATGATGGAACATCAATATGGAAAATAAAAAATTTTCGTGAAAAAATGAGTAAGTTTAATTTGAAAAAGAAAACAGTATGCATCATTGAAATAGAGAATTCAATTTTCCGTTGACAATAATTGTAAATTTATCGCTTAAAAGAAAAAAACAGAGCAATAAAATTTAAAAACATGTTTACGCTAAATTAGTCATTTTCTAGTGGATGCTCAATCTGAACGACAAACATCAATCTATTCACCCCCATTTTACTCATCAGCAACTGGCTACAAAATGCGAGCTCGGCTCTATCTAAATGGTGATGGTGATGGCAATGCTCGACGTACACATATGTCATTGTTTTTTGTTCTAATGCATGGTAAATATGATGCAATATTAAAATTTCCCTTCAATTATAAAGTTACATTTTGTTTGTATGATCAAACTCCTCAACAACAACACATTATCGATTCTTTTCGACCAGATATTAAATCAAACAGTTTTCAAAGACCACGATCAGAGATGAATATTGCTAGTGGTATACCTAAATTCTTTCCATTGACAATGATTCAACAAGAAGGTAATCCATATGTAAGAGATGATACAATGTTTATTAAAGTCATGGTTGATTTTGGTGACATGCCAAAAACATTATTACCATATGCATTGAGTCTTAATCCAGGATTACCAATGCATATTCAACAATTAATGATTAAACAAGAAATAGAACGAAGAGCACAACAACAATCTCAACAAACACCTACATCACCTGCAAATCGTCCCGTAACATTGCCGGTGCCATCCAATAATGAAGCCCAATCAGGTCAAATAATAGTTAATACAATATCATCATCTAATGCAGCAAATACTAATGATAGATCGGCTCATATTCATGTGACACCCTTGCCATCTGCATCGAGTCTTCATCCTGAGTCACAAATGTCTACTCAACAAACACTGATTGAAGTAGCAGAAGAAGAATTTTCACAAGAAACACAAGAAAGAGATAATTATGATTATGGGATCAACTGTAAGGAAACCCGGGGTTAGCATTATGACAATAGTTCGAATGATTAAGTTTGTTGATGAACATTTGTCCTATTAATTTGAATATATTGAGATTATAACGGGTGCGGCAAAATAAATGGTGTCCTCAGCATTTTATCTCTAACTCTTTTTTTTCTTTCATCCAAAAGGCATAAGAGTGTGGGTGTGGGTGAGAATCTTTTGTGTATCCTCAACAACACTCTAACCTGCACACCTACTCACACCTACATTCACAACGATTTGTCTTAGCATCTGTCTTAATGAAGTGGTCCTATAACTTTTCATTCGATCATAGATGTTAATATTGGGAAAATGATTTAAGAAGTCGACATTTATTATTGTTTTTATAATGAGACTTTTGCTTTTGTACGTTGACAGATAGAGTTAGATGATTAAATGAATCCTGGTTGATGAAAATTAAAAAAACAATGAATAAAATAGTATATTTCGGAACAATACACATTCCTTATATATTGATTATGTAAACACAATGATAAATCATGAAATTCATGAATCAACAATTGCAGTGTTTGAAGAATTTAGTTTGAATATCTTAGCTAGAAACGATACGATTGCATTTTTTCATCCATTGTAATTTCATATACGTTTCAATTATTTACGAATTGCTTTTAAAACTCTTTTCAATTCAATTATTTTATTTTATTTAAATAGACTAAAGACAGTATTGGAATTTTTTTTTGCTCTATGAATAATTCTTCGGAAATCATTCGGAAAGTCATCGAGAAAATTTGCTCTCATTTTAGTTCTTTGTTTTTATCTAAGACAGTCCAAAAGTAGTAGCAGTAACACTTTAATACCGTATGGTAAGCTTTAGGAAACTTTCTTTTTACATGCAGGCATAGTAAAAACAATGCTTTCTTGTTTTGTGAGAAAGTGGATAGGTGAATGTACGTGTGGATGTCTAGTTATATGTCGATATCGGTGTGAAAAAGAACATCTGCATCCTAGGCATTAGGGAAGACGTGAAAAAGAAAAAAACATCAAGAGGAGGATATACATCGACAACAAATATAATCTGATGTTATCTTCATATATAGGAAAAAAAATTCTTATCAAAATGTTCTCGTTATGATATTAGTTTATGAATGATGAAATATCGTAGAAAGATGAAGAATTGTTTCTATTATCCTTGCATATAAAAGAGAAAGTTTCCTGAAACTTACTATACAGTATTATAGTCTCACTGTCACTAATTTTGGACTGTCCTAAGTATTTAAAATGAAAAATATTGGATAATACATTGAACAAATAAGAGACATTCAGTTCTTGTTCTTTCAATTAGCTAAATTTTAGTTTTCACCATTTATTACTGATGGAAAATCAATATTTAGCTTGTTTTCGAAATGCGACTGTATTCATTATTCATGCAAATAATACATGTAGTGATCAACAAATCATTTATATTCAGTTTTTCAATTATATACTTGTAACCTTTAACGAAAATAAGTTTTTGAGGCTTTTTTTCTAAACCTTCTATCTCATTCTATATGATTGTATTTTTCGTGAGAAAATAAAATCTTCAAAAAAAATTGATATAATGATGATTGACACTTGTAAAATGTAACCATTAGATTTAAGCATTGACATTTATTAATGAGATTGTATAAAAGAAAAGAAAAACTAACTGAATTGAGTTAGTTAATTGATTTCTTTCCAGTCAATGAAAGTTATTCGAAAGTAGCAAGTTTATACCAAATAGGTAGTTATTGTGAATGGTTTTTTACTACTATGATAGAAAATATATTTTCTACGATCAACAAACAATTTTATTCTGACTGCAATGTTTTGAAATTAATACTCTCTTCTTAAAATGTAACTTCAGAGAGAATCAATCGGATCATATAATGAATTTTGTTTCTCTCAATTATGGAAGTTCCCAATGAATGTAACTATGAACATAATTAAATGTGTTCAACCCTTGTATACTACAAAATTGCACCTTGGAGTTTATGCTTTTTAAATAGAAAAAAAGTGTAATTATGAATATTTCTTTATTTTTTCATCGTTTTTTAGCGACGTTGTAAT